AATATTCCACTGTTTTTAAGGCAGTCAGTATGTCAGGAGTTCAATAGCTTTCCTTTTTAGTGGCATAGACATTCACAGACCTCCACTATAATAGCATTGCTTGTTCTTTACTTAGGTGTCGTCAAGTGAATTGGAAACAGTGTAGATATAGGTTATGTCAGGAGAATAAAAGCATCCTTCCCCCAGCATAGCCACACACCAAATCCAGTTCTTGACTTGGTTCTGAGACTTAAAAAAAAGGGGGGAGGGGGGGGAAGCAGTTTTAAAGATCTCCCATCACCAAGTTTCTTAGGGTGTGAAGGAGATCTCGTCCAAACCTCCAGCTCTTACTCAAAGTCAACAGGACTTTGAAAATCTAGTCTGTCCTCCCAGTGCTTGGAGAAGGGCTGAACTTCCAATGGGCTGGTGGGGAGCTACCTGCTCAGTGCAACTCCCCTGTTGCTCCTGAACCTGTCCTTCCCCACACGGCTCTTTTCTGGTGATCACACTGTCGTAGGAACCCCTCTTCCATGTCTTCATAATCACAACCTGCTGGGATGTTTTTAGAGCACACTGTCTACCTCCTACCACAGCAACAAAGAATTCCACGGAGGTGTGTGAAAAGCTGTTCTGTTAAGAGAAGTGCTTTCAAGCAAGAAGTCACCATAGCTATAGGACAACCTAGCACTAGGCTGCTGCCTGTCGGCCAAGAGAATTACCGTTTGTGTCAGAGAGATGGAGTAAGGAGGGAAGTGGGTGGAAGATAACCAGAGGAGGTAATCTTGGTGGCAGCTTTGCCAAAAGAGTGTGTGTAGGAGGACAGTAGAGGAAGAGAAGAGTATGGAGAAAGATGCTATTGAACTGAAATAGAGGAAGAAGCCTCAAAAAAGGATGATGAAACTTCCGGATTCTAAAGAAACAGGAACACTTCATCTTTTCCTGTGGGTGCTAATGAGTAGTAGCAGTCCTCCCAGGGAAGGAGCTGATTGTGTACAGAGCCCTGTGGTATTTGGGAAAGGCTAACTGCAGCTAATAAGCACCTAAAGTCATGTCCATAGTAAATAAAGGAGTCGTATGTGAGACTGTATGCAGTTTGATGTTAGCCATATGTGGTAGGGAGGAACTAGGCAATGAGATTTATAGGAATATCTCTAATAAAAGATAGAAAAAGACCTTTGCTACAACAGGCTTCTGGGAATAAATTGAGGACAAAACAGCATGGAAGATAAGTGAAAATAAGGCAAGTGATACTAATGGGGCTAGGCAGATTGTACTATTCTGAAGTGCTGTGTTATGGTAGAAGTCAGGTATTAAAGGCTGTGCAGGACCTAGTGAAACTGAAGGACTTCTAAAACTATGTACTGTTATTTTGAAATTCTGATTCAACAATTGCTATCTCAGAGCAAAACCCGTGGCTTACATCTATTGAGTATAGCATGAAAGGGGTATCTGGAATTAGGGAAACAAATACTCTGCAAGATATTTATTGTGCAGTTTGATAAAATTCACAGTATGGAGGCTTGCATTGTGTATTCTCTAATTCTAGCTGACCAGAAAATATAACAAAGATTGCTTTACTCTGTGTATCAAACTGCGTATGTTTAGCCCTTGCTGACATTTTAATCTTTTACAAAATAAGGTAGGACTTTTAAGAAGGGACCATTTTAACCCAGACAGAAGGGTGAGGGTAATACCCTACCTGAAAATGTCTTGTTCCAGCTCATGAGTCCGTTGTTGGTCCTCCCGATTCTGCTTTTGCATTTCTTCTTGCTCTTTTGGAGTGAGAGAACTAAGGCCATCCAAGAGCCATTTTTCTCGCAAGGCCTTTTTCTGGTGGGGAAAAATACAGATAAGTAAGTGTATTTTAAAAGTTAGGCTATTCAATCATTTACTGTATCTGTCTTGATGCCATAGGCGTGTCCACATTCTTGTGCTGTTTCGAGCATGAGGCAACCTGACAGCGGTGAGTGCCACTGAAAGAAGTACTAAAAAACATTTGTGTTTTGAGACTGACTTAAAACCAAACTCATTAAGAACAGTGTCCCATTTTATTAGTCCACTCAACAAATACTTAGAATGTGTCAGTCGCTACCTGTAACAGATTAATATTTGTAAGTGGATTGAGTGGTGTGTTTGTCCTCAATAAAGCAGAACAGTTGTATCAAAGGGTACATATTACAGACTCACGTAAAAGGCCCCCGTCAGAAGTGCTATAGTTTTATTTCAATAGCCCTGATTTCTGGGGTCATGGCATTGCATAAATTCTGGGAGGGGGGTATAAAAGGTGAAAATTTTCTGTAAATAAGTTGTATAGGGGGAAGAGATCTCTAGGGAGTTAGTGGTGCAATACTATCTCTGGAGTTTACAAGGAACTTGGGTAATTATGGTAGTGAACTCGCATTTCATCTGGTGAGGATGTGTGGGGTAAGAGTGGGACTGGAAAGGTGGAGCATGGGTTGCTGATGTCTGGTTAGTGTTTCAGCAGACCCGCTATGTATTTAGAACTGCTGTTGTAGGGGCAATCCAGGGCTTACATATTTATGTCCTGATCTGTTTAGTGCCTGTGGAGTTCTTTCTATACAGTTGTGGCTTATAAATGGGTGTATTGCATGTGTACAGGTGAGGGGATCTCTCAGCTGTGTTTTCAAGTTTTGAAAAATATGCCTGTACACACTGATTGCTTCCTACAGCTGCTTTACAATATGAAAGGTGGCATCTGAAAGTCATCAGAGCTTTCTAAAATATTCCTGGTAGAAAAAAAAAATTCATGGATAAAAGTTCATTTTAGCAGGCTAGAAGTTGTAAACCATGTGAGCTTTCTTGTGCTCTTTTTACTCCCTTCAGTCTAACTCAGGAATATAAATCCAGTTGCTGCCTTGGGGAAGAAGTGGGAGTCAGGAGTCCCTAGAAAAACTCTATTAACAGGGGGAAAAAAGCATGCATGTAAGGTTTTTAATTAACCATGAATTTTCCATCTGTAATTTAGATTCCTTGAGTTGTCCGATTTCCATTTTAGTTTTTTTTTGTTTTTTCCCTATATAGTTTCGTTAATTGTAGAATGTGGATGAAGATTAAATTGGATTTTGACTACTGCTGCTTTGAGGCAGAGCTGTGCCCAGCACTGGTGAGAAGGCTGCATTAACCTCAGTGCTGCTTGCAGCGGCTGTTGGAATCCCTGCCTGCATCCTGTGTGTTGAGTCACTTAAATTGTTGCTTCCTACACTTTTTTGTTTACTGTATACTTTACATGGGGTTATTACTGAGGCCCAACTGATGGAGGAGGATGCATGTGCGACCTGATTGCAGTTAAATGCAATTTTCAACTTGCTTGATGTGTGACATACATGATGTGATAGAAACTGTGGCTAAAACAGGCTTGTTCAGAATTCTGTGACACTTCACAGTACTTTTTTTTCCTTTTTTTTCCTTTTTTTC